ATATATATATTATATATATATATATATATATATATATATATATATATATATATATATATATATATATATATATGATTCAGTGTATGTATCAGAAAATCACTGCTATTCACGGATGACACAAATCTATATATCTCTCACTTAAGCCTTGATTTCTTTGTGTCTAAAATGAACGACGAACTAGATAGTGTAAGTAAATAAATGGCTTCAGATAAATTGGCCATCACTATAAACAAAACAAATTTAATCATTTTGGTGGAAAAGAAAAAAAAAAATTAAACAAACAAAATGTCAAAATATGTATCAACAATACTTCAATTAACCATGCATACCTGCTTTTAAAGGGGTATTAATCAACGAAAAACTGACATGGCATATACAAGTTAACCGTATTTGTCACAAACTATAATAATATATGCATGATATTAAAGATTGTACATTCACATTAATGACTTCCCCACTGTATCATTGTTTTGTAAGTTGTCCGTGTATGATTTAAAAAAAAGCTGCAGATCTCTCTATTCTGGTTCTTGTCTTCCTGGTCAATCAAACACCTTTATAGCTTGAATTCAGATCATCGTCAATGTAACACTAGACATTGTAACGATAACAGATCACCATCAATATTACACTAGACATTGTAACGATTTGGCAGAAATGCACACCAAAAAGTAACAAAGAATGTCCACAACGGCGTTTAGCTTCCCAATACCTGGGACACTTTAGACCGGAGTTTACAAATTAATTCATCTTTCTTAACATTTGAGAGCAATTAAAAACAAAATGTTATAAACCACCCAACATTTAACCAGCTTTATTCCCTATTAGAAAGTCTTATTTATGTTATTGTAGTTGCTATACGTCTTGGTATGAATCATTTAAACGTTACTTAGCTTCTCCATAATTAAGCTACTTATTTGTTAATATTTTCATGTCATTTGCCTTGATTGTCATTTTAATTATTTCAGTTAATTTGTGATTATTTTTTAATGCTTAGAGAGGGGGGTTAGAGTAAGCCTAACAGGCTTTCTTTCTTATACAGTGTTTTTTTTTTATTATTTGATTTACTCACTTTGCATTTTGTATTTTCCTGCGAACACAAAATAAAAACTAGTGGTCTGAGATCTCATGCCTTCGTCAGAGGGATATTTTTCTAGATAAACCAACGTTTTTTAATACTAGAAATCAACTTGGTATCCCTGTACTTCTTTTTTTCTTTTTTTATTGTACGGAACACCCTAAAAGGGTTTGCCACTTTACATATGCACTGTCGTTTTAGCACCCCCCCCCGTGTACACTATATGACATCCAGTAGATTTCTAGCGGGGACCAATCATAGGGCTGCTGACGCGTCACCGACCAGCGGCTATTAGCACCTTGTTTCATGTAAATGCCATGAACTCAACCAGAGCGCGTATTCAGAGCAACCAGAGCAGAGATTCTTGTTTACATCAGTACTAAGTACTAGTACTTCCACAATCAGTTAGTAAAGTCATACCTTAGATGAAATCTACTTTGATGAACGAATCAAAACGGGACTGTAGACATTAAGTTTTACACATTCAAATGTGGCTGCACTAGCGCTAATGGAGCGATCACTACGTACGGGAAGTAACGGATCTTAGCGAAGCCGAGATTTGTGAACCAAACCCAACCCATCGAAGACGGGCCGCCAAACATAAAAATGGAGGGAAATGACAGACAACAAGCCAACAAAGACAACATCACCAGACCAACAAACTTGGAAAACACCACTTCAAGCGCTAACGTTGTAAGAACTGTGGAACCTCAAACTAGTATGTTTGCGTCAGCGGAAAGGCTGTCGAAGTAACCACTACATGAAAAACTGCGGCGAAAAAGTAACATGGGTTCGTCCCAAATCTAGACGCAAGTGAGCTACAAAAGTAATAGAACCTATGCATCTTGCTTGTTGCTGTCAACTTACCTGTTAAAGATTGAACCGATACATGTACGTACTATAACTTGCCATACCCAGCCAAACACGACTACATTACTGTTACTCTTTATTTTGTGCTGTATAATGTATATGCGTTACATTATCTATCATTGTCATTTCTGTGAATTCCTTAAAACATCTACTGTTAGTTTGTGTAACATTACGTAGTGCTACAATCTGCGTAAAAAGTGGGCTTCATTACGTGTTATCTGCTAAGTCGTGTTGGTATTGAAAACTGTTTTATTGTGCCGTTCTTCTACAAACAGCCAGCAGAATTATGAAGATACTCGTTCTCAATACACATGCTGCAAACTAAAGTAATGGCAGTCCTACGAAAATTCTCTTTGTAATCTATAAGCGCTTTATGTCGACGTACAATGGGTGTGAAATACATGTTTTCGCTCATCGTGTGCCACCGGCTCGGTGGTAATTGGCTACTTTACAAGTGAAAGAACCGCGTCCGTGGGCCTTGATAAATTATTCAAATTATTCAGCAGCCCTCTGATTGGTTCCCGCTAGAAATTTACTGGATGTCATTCAGTGACGAGCCCCCCCCCCCCCCCTCGGCTACGGGCATGACATACTTTGCTTTATGTATCCTTGCATTTATACAGCCTCAAAACACATCAGGAAGGAGAGGCATCTTATATTGATTTGAATTTTGTGGAGATACAGTCTGGTTTGGTTGAAAGTTAAGGATATGTCAGAAAACAAATATGTTAGTGAATGTTCAGTGTTGCATTTGGTTGAAGTGTTACTGGTATGGATTTCAACTAGAACTTATCAGGG